ATATATATATATATATATATATATATATATATATATACACACACACACACACACACACACACACACACACACATATATACATATATATATATGGAACCATTATGAAAACAAACCTAAAAAGTCACCCTGACTTATAAATGTAATCCTATCAATTACCATAAAATAAATTTAAAGTAAGAAAAAGAATATTCTAAGAAAAAACAATATCTGAGGCATCTGGTAGCATCTATTCAATCTGACAAAATGTATTAAAAGGTGCAAATTTGTCAGCTTTCAGCTCACAAAAGCTTATACCTTTAAAACTAGTGAATTTTAAAAATACTACTTGACTCCTTCAGAGTTTGGGCCAGTTGTGGTATTCTTCTGGTTTGGCCTGCTTCGTCTGATGATCATCTGCGAGCAAACCGGTTCACTCCGATGATCAGCTGCTGGGCCCACCCAGCTCTATACTGACTTTTATTTCCTGTTTTTCAATCTCAGCTGCTTTGCGCAGCACAGCGGATTGCCGTGCATCAGCTGTTGAAGACACAGGGAGAGTGCAGGATTGCAGGAGGTTAGTAGCAAAGTGTGCCTACCAAGCCATGCCCACACAACCGGTGGCAAAAAAAAATGAAACCCACCATTGGTTTGGGCTACCGTAAGTTAACAAACTTTCCTCCTGAGCTACAAAGTATTCATTTCTTTATGAAAGATGTTAAATGGCAGGTCCCATATCAATCTTCAAGGAAAGATGAATTTTTCTTTCCTTTGTACTGTAATATTTTAAACCTAGAGAAGTGCTGGATTGTGTTCTCAAGATCAGTCATTGTGGTTGCTAGTAGCCAGGAAACTTCTATCAAAGTCCGTTATGGAGGTTGTCGTGAAGGTATGAGTCAAATAAAACATATGAATGGCCAGCAAGGTAGAGCTGACATTGTATGACTGAGTGGATGGTTTTTCCATGTACCTTGATGGGAGAACACTGGAAAGGAATACTGTTGGTGGGAAAGAAGGAGAGAAAGTAAGCAGGAAGGCTAGTCAAGAAGAGAAGCAGCCTAGAATTAAGGAGAAACGTCCTAACAATAAGGACGATTAACCAGTGGAACAGCTTGCCACCAGAGGTTGTGGGTCCTTCATCACAAGAGGTTTTTAAGAAGAAGTTAGAGTACCATTTGTCTGAAATGATACAAGGTCTACTGCTTGAGTTGGACTAGAAGACCTTCAAGGTCCCTTCCAACTCTGTTATTCTATTCTATTCTATCCAGAAGGCAACAGTGGAATAATAAATTTAAGAAATAAAAAGAATCCAAGAAAGTCTCTGTGTCCTAGGAAGGAGCATGGCCAGAGAATTGAGGAATTCAAAGGAAAGGGTGTGGCCCAATAGAGAGAAGAAGTCTTGGAGGAAACAGAATGGGAACTTGAGATGGAAAACCTGGTATGAATTAGGAGCAAATTTTGAGGCACAGCCTATGAGGCTTTTATTTAAGAGTGGAAAATGGCTCAAACTTTCCCAGCAGGGAATCCGAGGTTGTGAAAGAAGATCCTTCCATTCTGGGAATAATAGGAAGTAACCTGAAGAGGGAAGAATAATTCTGATCTGTAAAGGGCATTTCCTAACTAGAGTACTGAATTGAATTCTAGGAGCCTATGAAAAACAATACCAAGTTGATGCAGGATTCCGTTTCCTCGATTCTTTGAAAGCGCAGACTGCGATGGAAAGCTACCTTTTGTACAAATAATTAGGAGAATGGGACGGAGACACTATGGGAGAACTTCAGATATCACCAGGTGAGTAACATTTAGATTTTGTGCATGTACTGTGGTAGAGTAACCCCACCCCCCCAAAAAAAAATCACTTCTGCAACTGCCAACCCTCTCTAAATGGAGAGGGGCATTTGAAGTAGAATCCAATTTTTGAAATGGTCAGCTGGATCAAAATGCTTTATTCAAGTTATCAACATAAAGGTAGTGAGAATATGCTTTATTTCAGTATTTCCCATTTCCCCGAAACTGGTTACTGGGCTTCAATGAAGAAAAAGGTGATAATACACGATTTAAATTGGGAACCAGGCGTAGATTTTATCACTGGGCCTCTTAGAATGTTGAAAAGATCCACAGGTGAGGCTAAGCAAACACACCCACGAAAGTCCCATTGATAATGAAGCTATTGGCCCAGGTATTGTAGATATTATTTGGATACTATATTAAGGGATGGCAATATTTTGATTTAATTTCCTGTCTCTGTTCTCCTAAGACTCTAGTAAATTCCACTTCTAGATGCGTTTGAGCATGTTTATATGTGTGTGTGTGTGTGTGTGTGTGTCTATACATTCAGTCTCTTGCTATATTGATTCATAATAACTTTCCAGTTTATTTATTGCAAATAGCTTTTCTTTTTAATCACAAAGAAGGCTTGCAGATCCTTCAGACGTTTTATGCATTTCTAAACCCTAAGAAAGGGGCTTAGCATCTTCTCCCTCTGTAAGTAGAAAAAAGAAACCGTACTTTTTCGCTTATCCCTCCCTCACTACCACTATCATGGCTGATCACACTTTAACTGGGACGCTCCCAATTTCCTTTCAGTGAAGATATATAGGGCGGTGATTCCTATCAGTGATACTGGAGCAGTATAAGAGGTGGCTTTATTTGAAAATCTCTAGTGATGGAGCACCACATCTCCAGGAAATAAGCTTACTAGTTTCCTTTGCTTACTAGTTTTCCTGGTCAGGAAATGTTTTCCTTATCTGAAGTAACCAGTTATTAACAAATGGTAGTTACAGCTGCTCTTCAAAGTACAGGTGTTACAATTTCCATATGCTTGTATGATCGAAATTTGGTCATTTGGCAGCCTGTCCACACTTATGCCTGCATCATACACCTGTCACCCCACCCCACTTAGAATCATTAAACTACCTGTAATACCCAGAGGTGGTATTCAGCAGGTTCTGACCAGTTCTGGGGAACCGGTAGTGGAAATTTTGAGTAGTTCAGAGAATCGGTAAATACCAGCTCTGACTGGTCCCGCCCTCACCTATTCTCTGCCTCCCGAATCCCAGCTGATCAGCTGAGCCTTCTTTTGTTGACCTGCATAGGAGAACAGAGCTGGAAAGCAGGTTAGTGGGGTGGGGAGGGAATGGGGATTTTACAGTATCCTTCCCCTGAACCACACCCATCAAGCCATGCCCACAAAACCGGTAGTAAAAAAAAATTGAATCCCACCACTGGTAATACACTCTTCTCTGTGCCAGTCCTTTAATTATTGAAAAACTGCAAAGGATGTGTCTGCTTAGCCTTCTCTTCTTTAGGCTAAACATATATAGTTCTGTTAGTAATCCTTCATAGGGTTTAGCCACCAAGTTCCTCAGAATCTTCCTTGCTCTTCTTTGCCTTCTGTTTCCTCAGCATTCTTCCTGCATGATGACCAACATTAGACACAGTATCTCAGAGGTGGTCTTACCAGTATGGTGTAGAGAGGAAATACAATTTCCTGTGATTTGACATTATACCTCTATTGATGCAGAGCAACATTACATGAGCTTATTTTTTTTTTTTGGCAGCTGCAATGCACTATTGACTGATGTGTAATCTGTGGACTACTAAGATAGCCATATGGTTCTTGCAAGTACTACTGCCTGCCAAGCCACATGCTGCTTATCTTGTACTTGTGCATCTGGTTTTTTCCAGCTTCAAGGAGAACCTAACACTGAACAGCATTTTGTTGAATAGGCCAGAGTGTTCAAGGCTAGCAAGATTCTTCGGCCCTGGAGTCTGTCTCCTGAGATCTTAGCAACTCATCCAGCATTGTGTCATCTGCAGATTTGCTGAGCTTCCCTTCCACCAAATGGTGAGGAGAAATGGACCCACCTGAGCCCTGAGTGTCCCAGTGTAGACATGTATATATATATATGAAATACAATCCAAATTTAATACAGTTGCTGTTATTAATTATAAACTTAATCTGTAATCCAGGTTCTTCATTTGCGATTTTCCAAAAAATATTACATAATACAACTGTTTCCTGCTGAATGTTATATTAAGCAGCTTGTAATGACTACATTATAATCAAAATACAATCAAATACTCTGTTATTGTTAATAACAGAGATGGAATTTTGTGTAGGAGAGCCTTCAAGTCCTCACCACTGGCAACTGGAAGGAATAGTCCTTTAAATTTTCTCCATAAGAATTTGGACATGGTTTGACCCAGCTTTCTTCTACGGCTAAGAGAGACTGATGGTGATAGTAGATCTGCGATGGTGAACCTATGGTATGTGTGCCAGAGGTGGCATGCAGAGCTCTCTCTGCAGGCACATAAGCCATCGCCTAGCTCAGCTCCACCGTGAATGTGCGTATGCCCAGGGGTGGTATTCAATTTTTTTTAACAATCGGTTCTGTGGGCATGGCTTAGTTGGTGGGCATGGCTTGGTGGTCATGTTATTGGCAGGGTGTGACCAATTCAATATCACTCACATCGAGGTACGCATCTCCTCGCCTGGCCTCTCATGATTGTGGGGATGCTACAACAGTCATAAGTGTGAAAAACAGTCATAAGTCACTGCCACTGTAACCTTGAATGGTCACTCCACACAAGCAAAGTACCAGCAAAGGAGGGGGGAAAAAAACTCCAGAGACATTCCTGAGACAGGAAGTCTAGTCCTGCCAAGAATGTAATAAGGGTTAACGGAGAGGCAGTTTCTGCAAGCAACACCAGAATGTTTCCTTCCTGCCTTCCTTACAGGATTAGGCCGGTTATTTCTTCTAACAACCGATTCTCCAAATTGCTTAGAATGTTAACAACCAGTTCTAGCGAATAGGTGTGAACTGGTAGAATCCCACCCCTGCGTGCACCTCCTGCCAGCCAGCTGGTCTTCAGGTCTCTGCCATGCATGCATGGGGGGCAAGGTGCAATCGGGGGACTCACATGCATGTGCAGGCACATGCAGGGGATGTGCGCACATGCATGGAGGGTGAGATACATGCATGGGGACACACATGCATGTGCGGGGGTGGGGCACATGAATGGGGCAGGGCACATGTGTGGAGAGGCACCCATATGCAAACACATTGCATTTTGGGGCACACACATTGCATTTTGGAGAGTTGTTTTGGGCAAACACACACTTTGGGCACTCAGTGCCGAAAAGGTTAGCCATCCACTGGACTAGACCATGGTTAACAAATGGTTTTGTGCCTCAGATGAGATTAGAACTCACCATCTGGTTTTCAGCTGATGCCTTAACTGTGCCACCAAACAGGTTTTCAAAAGTTAAAGATGTCTTTAAGTCATTGTTGCTGTAACAATTTCTATAACAATCCTTTTAAGGCCTTACCTTAACTGCATAAAACAGAGATACCTTAACTAAAATGTTTCTCCTTTTTGTCATTTACAGGGTTCATTACCCCAACACAGGGTTTTTACAGCTGAACTTTCTGCATGTTTACTCAGAGTAAGTAAGACCCATTGAACTTAATGAGCCTTACTTCCATGTCAGTGGGATGATGAGGACTTCAGACTTGTTTTCCACCATTGGAAGATTATTGCTTGAAAACTAGGTAGCTGAAGACATTCCTTCTTACAAGACAAACATAACCATAGCATGGGAGAAAAGACACATTTCAGATTCTCCAAAACATTGTATTTCATCCAAATAATCCTGAAATAATAGAACGGGCAGAGCCTAAGAAGCTCCTTTTCACACACAAGTTATACATATGTAATACTAGTTTTAGCAACATTAAAATAACAACCACCCTGAGAACATGAACAAGGAAAGCAGAAATAATATTTTACAGGTCCTCTCATTTTTGGTTTATTTTCCCCAAGTAAAAGGTGAGAGATATGAGATTAAAGTTATTCCCCTGTGATGGGCTTGGATAGCCAAGGTAATCAAAAAGAAAAACTTAAATATCCAATCTTTATCTTTACATGTGTGCCAAAATCAATGCGCTCTAGTTAGAGCATGAAAACCAAACACAAGAGAGCTCAGACCTGTTCCATTGGAGGGCACTAAAACCTTTCCCTTTCTACCCACTCAAAAATAAAGACAGTTTCTTACTTTAGCCAGCACATGGACAAATGAAAAAAACAAAAAACTCAATTTTGGGAGATGTTAAAAGTTTATTAAAATAACCAAAATAAATATGACTTTCTCCTTCTTCACCTCTTCCATGAAGGCATATCAATGGTCTTACCCCACATTTTTTCATTTGAGAGCAGAATTTCCAAGAATGCTTGTGATTTTTTTTCCTTTCCCATGTTTTGTTAACACAATGTATTCTGTATTCTCTTTCTTTACTTCTGTCAGCTGTTTTAGGAAGATGTCTCTGTGGCGAAAAAAAGCTCTACACAACTTCAGACAAATAACTCCGATATTAGAGCAGACAAGTCATTCAGACACTAGTCTTCGGATTATCCTGAGCAATCAGGCTTTCTGAGTAATAAGATTTTATTGTCTCTTATAGGACACATTACTGGTATAATATGGATTTTCTCCAACTACCCCAAAGCTGCATCCTTCCCAGTGTTGTTTGTTTATTTAGAAAACTTATATAGCTGCCTATCACTCACAGAGACTCTAAGCAGCTTACAAACAATAAAAACACAGTGGTGGTGGGGGAAATAAAAATTAAAAAACCAATAACAACCTTCCCTGGTGACAACACACAGTCAAACAAGCCGTTTGATGGGCTCCATCTGACTCTGGGTTCCCCAGACCCGCTAGCAAAACATGGGAAACAGTATCAAAGTGGGCGCCAATCTAATTTCTGAAGGGATGATATTCCAAACAAAGGGAGCCACCACAAAGAAGGCCATGCTTCTGGGTCCTGCCAGATGTATCTTCTTAGGGGATGGGACCTGCAAATTCCTTGCCTCCCCAGTCTAATTGATACCATTTCCACTGCTTCCACCTATTTTTACCAATTAGCCATAACGCTGATTTCAAAAAGACATTTCTTCAATAGATTGTTTCTGTCAGCTTTCTTTTAAAAAAGTAGGAAGCAGATATTCTTGCAAAGTAGTTGACCAATGGCTGCACACATCACCCCATCTGAACAACTGGAGCAAAGCTCAGGCAATTTCTGTCATGCCAGCCATTGGTATAAATGGAACTTCCCCATTAGTAAAATATTTTAAAAAACAACAACAACCAAAACCACTACAGTTTGCAGCAACAGGAAGAAAAGAACCAAGAATGATAGTACTGAGTCATCTGAAAGATTCTTTCACTGAACAAGTGGGATTGAGAACACATGAGTTAATTGCATGAATCTCCCACAGGCAAAAGACAACCAAACCCCAAAATGGCTTTGGATAGTGAGATGGGTGGCATATAAATTTAATAATAAATAACTAATAAATAAATTCTGTTCCTTTTCCTTTTGACACCCTGCATGTACTCACGATGGTTGCAGCATCCTCGGGTAATGTTATTGTCATTTACAACCTTCCCAACCAATTTCCAACAAGCAAAGTCAATGGGGAAAAGCTGGATTTGTTTAATGGCCATGTGATTCACTTAATAAGTGCAGTGCTTAACATCTGGGGCAAAAAAAAGATTGTAAAATTTAGCATGATTCACTTAACAGCTGCCTCATTTAGCAACAGCAATTCTGATACAGTTATGGTCATAGGTCGAGCACTACCAGTATAAGAAAAATAAATCCATGCATTTTTCTTTAATTTGTAAATTTCACTGCAAGGCTATAAGGAACCTATATATCTTGAGACTGCCTTTGTATGATTTATGAACGAGGATGAAAACCCTAAAATGCTGGCACAGTTAACAATGATTGAAGTCTGTGTCAGTCTAGTGCTGTACATAACATCATAGAGGTCCTGCAAACCAAAAACCAAATAAAATGTTATCAGGTCATATTTGTGCTATGTTGAGGTACATATGAGTAATAGACTTCTCCACTTCCCATCTATTTTGGCATTGGCCATGCCCACATCTAGTCTATTACCTTCAACAGATTATTTGTGATCCAGAATAAGGCCGTCCAAAAATGCTAGGGAATTTCTAGAAGCCTGACATTCTGACAAATCAGCCAGCAATAGAGACGTAGACAATAACAATATATATAGACTATGCAAAAGAGACAATCAACCAGCCCAAAAGAGAACCAAAAGAGTCCAGCACCACTCCATCAGTAATCAGCACCCAGATCAGCATATATTAACTCCAAGGTTAACTTGAGATCAAAATCAAGTAAGCAATACCCCAGTCAAGAAATTGCCAAAGAACCATCAATAAACAACCCGACCAAAGAATTTCTAAGACTGCTTCCATTCACCCAAACAAACTAGTCACCAGAATATAAACTGATAGCAAACAGTCCTTACTAGTACTGATGATGTTACCTAGTTAGGGTAATGAAACATCTGCAAGAAAACAAGCAAGCTTAGAGAGCAGCAATGACCCCTTAGATTATTTGTGAGAATGGTCCCTCTCTGCATAGAACAGGGCTTCCCAAACCTAGGTCAATTACTCAGAATTAATTTTCCTTTGGGTAATGAAACACAAACGCCATTACCCAATCACAACAGGGACATTTAACAAAGTGTTTTACCTACATTTTAGAAACAGAAAGTTATCTAAAATTGCTCCAGATTAATTTCATGTTAACATAAATTATCGAGGATATCTGAAATGTACTCTAACAGCAAGATCTCAATCATATATAATTTTTGGTCTTTTCAGGCAGCAAACAACCAATTTGGTTTTACATTTGAGCTTTGCAAAATATTTCCAGGAATTGTACTACATAAATTACAGGTTTGTAAATGTTAGGTTCTGCCATTGGGACATCATTGGAGCCTTTTGCTTTTGTAATTTCAACAAGTGCATTTGAGTACTAGCATGCCAGAAATGACCTGGGGCTTATTGGCCATAAGCCTACATGTGCCCTCAATCACAGGCCTAAACCTCCACAGATTAGGTACATGAAACCACACTGCACAGTAGAACTGAATTACACTGAATGCATAACAAAGCATGCTATTTTTAGAACATGCTGCTTTTAAGTGGACATTTTAAAAGAGGAACCTACAAGAGTTAGATCTGCTTTCTGGTAGTAATTACCTCCTACAAATGTGACTCATTCCTGCAATTTGAATGTATATGTTTGATGTCCCAAAATCAGCAGTCTTATAAATAAATCTCTGAATCACAAACCAAGAGCTTTAAGTGTTCAAATATTTCTGGATACCCAGGAAAGTGGTAGGTGACATTTATTATATTTCCTCCAGAATCAGAGAGTTTGGAAAGTCCCATCTGAATCTTTAACAACTTGGTGCCAGACAAAACCAGATTCTCTAACATTTTTGTTTCCTATGCCATCCAACTGGTAAACATGCAAGATTCATTTTTCTCATCATGTACATCTATACTTCCAAACTAGATTGTGTTGTTTGTCCATGTCATATAATATAGGTGGGTATATGCATAATTTAGTGTGTGTGTGTGTGTGTGTGTGTGTGTGTGTGTATGTATGTATTATATATTGGAGGTGGTGACCCTTTGAGAGCTGTATGCAATGAAATTTCATTTTAATGTATGCCGATTAGTATACATTCAAAGAGATAATAAAGTTGTTCTAAGTCTACGTCTGAGCTAGTGAAAGGAAGGACTAGCTATGTGTAATGGGAGGGCCTGACCTGATCCAGAAGGGTGCACAGGATCAACTCTTTCAAGACAAAGTTTACAGCAATGAAAGCTGATCAGGTTTTGATCCCTGAGACAGAAAATCCCACGAGTGCCTCTCTCGTGACTACAAAAATGCAATCATAACCAGTTATATGAGTAACAGTTTCCTGCCCTTTTACAACACTAAAGTAATTGTCAGCTGCTTCGTTTTACTTTACGGCAGGCCCATTTCACATTCAGCTTTTTCAGTAACTGCACTATAGGAGAAGACGACTTCCTATGACTATTAATCTACAAACTGAAATAAATTAGACTGGATTGATCCAAAACATTTAATGGAGGGTGGATTAAGGGACACAAGTGAAAGCAATTGTTATTCATTACGGAGGGTGTGGACTGAACATGGGCGACCTTATCTATCCAACAAATGAACAACTTGGATATGCAGAAAGTGGTGACATGGGTGTCTGGAAGATATAGATAATAAGGTCTTAAGCTAATGGATAAATACAGGCTACAGGTGCGAGTATGAAAATTGCATCTAGCTGTTTTCTTTTCCCTGTAATTAGGCTGTTTAAAATTTCTAACATATTTTCCATTTCTAAAAGAAACAAATGTAGTGATTGAAATCATTACTATGATATAAGGCTTTATACCTACCTACTTCTTTAAGTTCCTTCCCAATAAAAAAAATGTCATGGCCTTTTCTTTATAGTCAGGAAGTTTACCTTGCTCTGTGTATAAACTCCAAAATATCAGTCACATAATAATGGAATTCTAAATGGAAGACCATTTTAAACTGTACAAAGTTTAGTTATAGTTCTATTGATTTTGGTTCAATTTAATAGAGCATCTGAAATTACTTCCAGCCTTCCTACCTTTTCTCCTCTCTTAATTTTGTGGCCCCCAATATTTAGGTCACAAAAGCTAATAATCCAATTTTTTTTTTTAAAAAAATGTCAATGATGTTTGCTACAGCAAATTCATGCATTTGCCTAACTGCAATTTACATATTGCAAGCATATTACTACTTTCGTTTGACTGCTTGAGTGTTTTTGTTTCTTCTACTGCCTTATATTTGATACATATATTTTTTTTCCTTCAGCCTCTTAAAGTGTTTGACCTGTCTTACCCTTTTTTAATTTGTTGCAAAATTCTACTCTGAGATTTTAAATCTTGGTCTCTCTCTGGCCTTTATCTTTTCCTTTTCCGTTCTCTTGGGATAGTTTTTCTGAATATATTTGTTCCTCTCCCT